ATTTAGCAAAATGATTCACACTTGCCTTTCATAGTGAGGGACAAGAGGAGCGGAACGGGGCCAGCAGGATGTTGGTACAGAAAATAAAGAATGATAACATTGAGAACAGATTAGAGAAGTGTAATCGATTGGGCGGTAGTACGCTGGCTCCGGATCGCTAGTATCATTTCTGTAATTTATAACGTAATATTATCAGTATTCCTTTATTAATAATTATTTGTGTAACATCATTCAAATTGTTGTTAATATTGTTTGTTCTATAATATTTCATTAATAAATTTACAAGTGTTAATTTTGTGTTTTGCCACAATGGCTGACGGTGACGCCCAAAATGTGCAGGATACGACATATATTTATTATTGTTAGTGAGACACGGTGGCCTTGATTTTTTTATTTTAATCTTTTTAAGTGGTGATAATGTATCAAATACTCTTAGCAACTTGTTTGTAAAACACATAATCTTATCAATTACATCAATTGAATTAAAAACATTTTCAAAATTACTTGTTTGTAGGAGGTTAAGTAATAATTTTGTTGACCTATACTCTTTAGATTCCTTAGTTACAATGAATTTACTCTTCACTTCAAGTAAAAATAGATTTAATTGACAAAAAAACTAGCTGATGATCAGTGTCATGCAGTTCAACACTGCCGTAAGAACTTTCTGATCTTCAGAAACTATAAAAACATCTAATAAAGTTTATGTGTTTTTGTGACACGAGTTGGTTTATCAATAATTTACTTACAATTAAATAATTGTATAGAATTAAACAATATTATTACTTTGTTAGACGTATTATCTAAAAGATTAATATTTATATATCCGCCAATAATTATCCCAGAGTGAGAAGTAATTAAATCTGAGACGTTCTCTTCGATATTATTTAAATATTCTAATAAATTTTTTTGAGGTGGTCGATAATACGTAACAATAGCAAATGTAAGTTTATGAATATTGTTACTCAGGTTTCATGAAACTAAAACTCTGACATCAGGTCGTCGACTTATATGGCTTGTCTTGACTTTCTAGAACCTTCTCGAACAATCCGGACTTTTCTTTGACAAGGAATGACATTTCGAGACATTTCTGGATTATTCTATCTTCTTTATTTACTCGTACCTTTACTTATGACGACCGCAGCACGCTACAGGGTGCTGCGTAACAATATATAGTCTTGCCCAAATTTGTTTAACATTATCATTAGTTTTTATATTTAAGGTATATGCATACACCACCATCTATTTGAACCTCTTTGTCGAGTTTAACTATAATATAACCAGGAACAAATATCATTGTTACGCAGGTTTTTGGTATCTCAATTTATTTCAACTCAACTTTTACAATATTTCAACTGATAACATTAACGTATAACGTTTATCATAAAACTGCCTTCTGACGCCAAGATCCCCGATTTATATAGCTCGATTTAACCTTCTAGAACCTTCTCAAACTTCCAGATGTTTCTTGATAAAATATTTCTCGAACTCGTGCCAGTGTTCTTTTAGTACCAAAATGTCCTCCCGAACGGCTGCTATGAAGCTGCTTCAACACACTCCTGAGATGTGATTTCGGCAGTACTACTTGGCGGGCTACATGTACTCCATCGGGGCTTTCCTACATCCGGTGCAATAGGTCATCGTGAAGATACAGGGAATCCCACTGAGTCCAGTACCCTTTAATAGCTCTACTATATTTGGCTATCTCTTGCCAAATAGGTGTGACTTTATTTTTAAGCCATTTTCGAACAACCTTGAAGTCATTGTCTTTTTTCTGTCCCTTTCTTAGGCTTTCCAGGGTAATTTCTTCTTCGCCATCCTCTGGCTTGATAGTGGTTGCCTGAAGAGTAACTTTATCAACCGGTTCCTCTCGTTCTCCGAGATCTTTACTGTACCAGCATTCTCGTTCTAAACAGGGTCGCCTGGAGAGAATGTCTGCATTGCTATGCCTCCTGGTTATTGCTAGAAAGTCGGCTAGGTGTGGGTGATCGGCTTCTCCGGGACGCGTAAATGCTATAATTATTTCTTGTTGGACTTCGTGACGGGTTTCGGGAGATTGATCTATGTGACTTTCTGGCCTCATTCCCTGATTCTTGATTTATAGAACGAGCCCTGATTCTGCAGGTCCTTTAAAGGTGCCCTGATTCTGCAGGTCCTTTGAAGGTGCCCGATTCTTCCGCAATTAAAGCATCTCCTGTCTCCATTTTAGCTGTTTCGTTGCATATTTTGCAGTATATTTAAGATTTGTGACAGGATAGATTGGAAATAGTATTAGTATTGGCCTGCTCACTATCCTGGGATTTAATTTCTCTCACACTTGCGCCACAATATCTGGAAAGGAGTTTTACCGCTTCATATTTCTGGGCTGCAGTCAATTTTTCCCTCAGCGTCTTGTGATATTGCAGACGAAGGACTTGCTGCATTTCCACATCTTGTAGTCTATCAAAAAATGCCTGTATTCCGATTTTTTGTTGGAAATCTTTCGGCGCCTGTGGATAGGCCATATCAGTCAATTTTCTTATGTCGGCCTCGAATTCCTATAGGCTTTTATTATATTTCTGACTGCGAACCATATCTTGTCTCGAAAGCTTGGAGAAAGTAACTGTAAAACGGTTGCTGCCTGTCTTCGCAGCGAAACTATCAATGAAGCCGCCATTTTTTTTCAGCCCACCACTGGCTCTAGCTGCACTCCACTCCACTAGTTCAGTTCTAATTTGCCTTTCTAACCCTACTCTAGCCGGTTCTTGTTGTCCTAAATTATCTTTTAAATTCTCTAAATTAGTTTTTATATTCTCTTGCTGCTGTTCTAATTTAGTTTTTAAAGTATTTTGTTGTTGTGCTAAGAGATCTACTCGACTTTTTAGCTGACCTACCTCTTGCTTAAGATTTTCTTTAATATGCAGCAAACCATTCATAATTTCTACCTCAGCTTTTCTATGCCTCTCTTCTCTTTTTCCTCGTCCTTCCAGCGCCTTTTCTTCTCCTCATCTTCTTCCCTCCTACGCCTTTTGTTTTCCTTCTCTTCTTCCTTCCTACGCCTTTTCTTTCTCTTCTTCCTTCCTACGCCTTTCCTTTTCCTCCTCTTCTTCCTTTCTACGCCTTTTCTTTTCTTCCTCTTCTTCCTTCCTACACCTTCCCTTTTCTTTCTTATCTTCCTACGCCTTTCCTTTTCATCGTCTCGCCTTACTCTCTCTTCTTCCATCTTCAAAAACCATGCTGGTGGGCCTGAAGTATCCATATATCTATTTCGTGCGCAGTGGATCTGGTATTTACCATAAATAGAATGCTTAGGTAACTTTTATTTCGTATCCCACCGCTCTCATCAATGTTACGCAGGTTTTTGGTATCTCAATTTATTTCAACTCAACTTTTACAATATTTCAACTGATTAATGTATAACGTCTATCATAAAACTGCCTCGTGACGTCAGGATCACCGACTATATAGCTCGGTTTCTTGGCGTGAAATGACATTTCTCGACATTTTTCGAATATCTTCCTTCTTCTTCTACTCGCATCTTTACTTATGACGACCGCAGCATTCAGCACACTGCAGGGTGATGAGCAACAACAATATTATCAAATATTCTCTTTGTAAGCCAAGCTCACAAACACCAACAACAGTATATTTTTCTCTCATATGATCTTTGAAATGTGTAAAATGTTTAGTGCAACTGAAAACCCTTTCTTTTTTTACAAATTGTTATTAAGTACCTAATATACATTAAATTAATATAAAGAGACTTAAACAATGGTTTAAACAAAAAAGTGTATATTTATTATTGTAATAAAAAGATGAAATAAAACATTAAATAGTTCCTATTAAAATTTTAATCAAATCAAAGGTGAATAAATTCGTGTCCTTAGGCGGGTTATTTATGTTTGTTCTGTCTTCTTGTTCTTTTTGGAGGTGGAAATTTTTCTGGAGATGAATGTTTATTTTTGTTATCGGTCTCGTTGTCTGTCCCTGATGTCTCGATTTCGTCTTCATTAACCTTCTCTTCAACTTCTTTTACTTTTAATTCCTTTACTAAAAAACAAGGTATTACGTTTAATTATTGCTTTCTTTCCCAATGCTCTAGCTGCCTTCAAATGTTTAGAAATTTTCTGTTCTTTGCTAACTTGATAACAAAGTTCGTTAGTAATGAATAATTTATCTTCGGATTTTTTTAACTCTGTTATATTTGTGAAAATGTCTTTCTTTGTAAGATACGAAGTAAACTCAATTTTGATTGGATTTCCTTTTCCTCTGCCAAGATAATAAATACTATTTATGTCAAATTGTTTTATATTAATTGAAATAGATTAAGTTTAGTAGTAAAACTCCTAGATCTTTGTTATACCCCTCCAATTCTCTAATTTTTTCTGTTTGTTCTTCAATTGTTTTTAGTAATTTGTTATTTTAATCACTAATGTTTTTATTTATCTCTTCTTTGATGGTTTTGATCTCTGTTTGAAAAGACATAAACATCTTTTCATAAAGTTCATTATTTGAAATATTTTTCTTTTTTTCAACCATTTTTACAACGTTTTAGTACGCCTTTGAGACACTGGTAAAAAAACTTGCAAGATAAAAATATATTGTCTGTCCACGATACATAGGAAATATATTCAGTAATATTGCAATTTGCCAAAGTAACAAATAATATCTTACCATTCTATTTATATCCGTTAATCGATATTTGAAAACCTCAAATTTTCGTTTTCAAACGAGTATTTTCACCACTTCAAACTGATCAAATAACGGAGCTAATTGAAAACGTGTTTATACACTGTTGTTTATAAAAGTTAATAAAAGTTATGTTTATATTGTTAAATAATCTTTCTAAATGCCACGTGAGGTAAGAATGTTTTTAGATAACATTTTGTTGTTTTCTTACAAATTATGCAAATTTCCAAAGAAACGATAAAATGGTCTCAAAAAATTATCACCTCTTGTGGTTTTACCCTTGACAATTTCTGTATTGTAATCTGACCCCTCAAACTTTAACTATGTATTTTTAGTTTTTCAGATTGTATATCCTTTGATAAAAGTGTCATAATAGACGAAGAAGTTGTTAAAGTGAAATGTGCCAATGTATTTCGTACCATCTACGAAAATGTACATGCCGTTTTAAAACCACCAGAGGAGGTATCCAATAAAAATGACCCCAACGTTATCTTCATAGGTATGTAGATAATCTCTATAATAAAATATAACAAAATTTAAACTAATAAGGGACCCAACTAAAGTAAGCAGACCCTCAGACAGGCCGTTGGTAGTGGTCATATACGCATCTAGCAGCAATCAGTTAAAGTGAATCGTGGCCATTTATGAACCAGTTGTCTCGAGATACGCTTCAGCAAGCACAGGATGAATTGCTGCCACATATAATCTGAATATCCCGGAGCCGTCTGGAACTGGGATATATACCATAATGGAGAAAGTAGGGAAAAAGTATACCACACATCCTAAGTCCTTCCGATAAAAATGGTGCCGCGAGATGTGACCCCACCAAAACATCCTAGTAGCATTTTCAAATTAGACTGGATAGATATAGAATGGGGAAAAAAGTCAAATATCTAGGTCCAACTCTGGACAACCAATTTCTCTGGAACATACAGGAAGGAAGTAGTAAATAAGGCTACAAAAACTCCAATGGTATGCAAAAACATTGCGGGTTAAAGATTGGGATGTACCCAGAACACACTGCGATGGATGTATACAGCAATAATGACACCAATCATCACTTGCGGGGCTATAGCTTGGAGTAACAGAACTAGCTTAGAGACTACGAGAGCTAATATCTCAAAAGTACAAAGACTAGCATGTGTTTACATCGCCGGTGCAATGAGAACTTGTGCTACGGCCGCAATGAAGGTGATTTTAAACTTCTCAACAATGATAGATAACGTGACAAAAAGGACAAGATATAGAATGATCGGGAACGGACTAATCAGACAAAAGTCTATTAACTTCAGGACTGAAGATACTTGGGATAAGCCTCAGGACGATATAAGAAAGAAGTACAGTTTTATGAAAAACTTTAAAACTACAGAGCTGAGCTGCAAGAAAGAATGGAGCTAAAAAACCATCGGGTTTGCAACCGAAAAACATTCTATTCAGTGGTATACAGATGGTTACAAAACCATAGAAGAAACTGTAATAGGAGTGTATGGGCCTAGAACCAGGCACTCGAAAGGTTGGGTATATAATTTGGTCGATATCTGATAATGGGATCCTTAAAATCATTACTCTTTATTTTTGGGGTTGGTTTTTTTTATCTGGGAAAGTCTAAACATAAATCTGTTTTAATATATACATGTACTTCAATAACAACCTATAGCTAGTACTAACCACAGACTAAAACTTACTTACATTATTTCTAGGGATAGACGGTGTTTCGGCATCGAATTTCATTAGAACAATGCCACTAACTTACAATCATTTAAAAAATTCTGGATGGATCAATCTGAAAGGCTATAACAAAGTTGAAGATAACACGTTTCCAAATATTATTGCTGCATTTGCCGGTGCCACATTTTCTTACCACGAAACTTATGATCCCGAAAATTGTAATCCATTTGAAACTGAAAAATTGGAAGCTTGTAATTTTCTCTGGAAAATGTTTAAAAGTGTTAATTACAGCACGGCTTATGGAGAAGATACTCCAAAAATTGGTAAATAAAAAGTATCTACAGACCGACAGGTATACTATAGCAAAAGGCACGATATAAAGCTAACTTGAGACCCGACGGAAAAAACGATTCAAGCCGCGTTGCCAAATTTATTAGTATTTTGTAATAAAATAGTAAAATGGTAAAATTAATGCAGAATAATTAATGATTTTGTATTATATTTATTACGGGTGTACTTACTATATTGATATTAAAATGAATAATTTTTTAGTAATTCAAAGTTTGTTTTCTAATAACTTTTATTTTAAAAAACTACAAAGAAGTCTTTTCAACTGAATAGTATAAAATCTAGCAACAGACTAAACAAAATAATAATACTCTCCCTAATTCATCCTCTTACGAGTGAATTTCAACCCCTGTAGCCGACTGAGCTTGTGTATTATTTGTCGTGGCGCTCCGGGGCGACTTAAAGATTATTGATGATGTCATTTGACTTACAAGTGAGGAAACTCCAGAAAACCTCACCCACCATCAACGAAACGGTAACGCATGGCGATTTATAATCTGGATGTCATATCAACAGAAATTAAATTTCTGCTAATACGGGCCACATCAAATCCTATAACGAACCGTGCAATTTAATTAAAGATTCACATGGTCTGCTGAATGATTCGAAGCCGTTTTGTCTTTTAACCACAAATTTAAGAGCGTGAAGACAGCTACGCTACCAACCCGGAAAGAAATATTTAACAATATAATGTACATAAGATAAAATTAATAGACCATAATATACAGGGTGTCTGTAAAAGGTCTTTGCAAAAACATACCACATATTCCTTCGATCAAAATAAGTCGATTTAAGTAAAATTACAAAGTTGCTTCGTTTGGGCTCCAGAGGGCATTGAAGTTACAATTTTTAAATCGTTTTTCCCATATAAATTTAAAACGGCATTCAAGTGGTTTCTAACGTTTAAAGAAAAAAATGTGGTGGAGCTCCATCTTGCATAAACCACATATCTCTCCGAAGTTGGAGAGGTAAATCTTCTAACAATTCTGGCAACGTATTTTGTAGAAAATCCAAATAATTTTCTCCAGTTAATCTTCGTGGAAGTATGACAGGACCAACAATGAAATTACCAATTATTCCAGCCCACACATTAATTTTAAATTCGTGCTGAAAATGGTTTACCTTAATTGCATGCGGATTTTCAACGGCATACACATGTTCATTATGGGTATTAGTTATACCTCTTCTTGTAAAACCCGCTTCATCGGTAAAGAGAACCTTCTTGACAAAGTTTGGATCTCTTTCTCTTTGCATATTAACAAATCGACAAAAACCCAAACGAATTTGGGGATCATGGACTAATAATTCTTGTACTGGCTTCTTATGGTGTGGATATAGCAATTGTTCTCTAAGCACTTTATGAACGACATCTTTACTTACTCCTAGTTCCCTTCCAATTCGTCTGGTGCTTAATTCTGGATCTTCTTCAACACGTTCTAAAATGTCTTCTTCAACTTCAGGAATCCTTACAAAACGTTCTCTTCCATTATCAACAGTGTTGGGAGCAAAGGAACCGGTCTCCCGAAGACGTCTCTCAACAGCAGCAAAAGTTGGGTGGCTAGGTACACGACGATTTGGAAACCTTTCAGAGTACACCCTGACACTCTCTCGAGCATTTCCTTCACAAAATCCTAATGTCAGTAACATATCGGTATATTCTGCATTGGTATATTGTACAGCCATATTAATAAACCACGCATTTGTTTTTTTTAATTATTGAGTCAGATAGAACACTTTCAATCGTTAACAAGAGATTAGGTGTTAAAACTTGACAATATTTTTATTTAGATGAAACTATGGAAACCAACAATAAATGTTTTTGTATACGTATTTCAGGCAAATAATTAATATTCCTCAAAAAATCGTACATGGCAAGAATCGAGTATTTTTGTTAAAAGTCTCGATTAGAGGTGTTGAAGAAGATATGAAAAAAGTACATTTTTATGTTTTTCATCGTATAAAATTTTGTCCGATAATAATACATAGGCGTAGAACTTGATTTTTTAAATAATTGCACCTATAAAAATTCTACGCCAATGGCAAAAAAGGGGTTTGAGTATGAAATTTGGATTGGGTACTCATTTACTACAAAAAAGTACACTCGATTTACTCTCATGGTTTTGACAAAGTTTGTATTTTAATAATTATTGTTTATGTTCTATGTGTGTGTGTTTTGTATGATGGCCTTGATCTCAGATCAATTGGCCAGAGCTAATGTTATTAAAACGAATCTAAACCTACTTACAATTTTCACAAATTACAACAATACAATAATTAATAATGAAGGAACCTAAAATCTATTAAAAGTACAAAATTTTCATCATATTAACAATTAAACAACAGTTAAAACAGTTGTGATACAATTAATTATACATAATTATATTTTAGGCGACGAATTCTTTTTTTTTTATATATATATATATATTTTTTTTTTTTTTATTTTTTTTTTTTTCTTGTTTTTTTTTTGTTTTCTTTTTTTTTTTTTTTGTTTTTCTTTTTTTTTTTTGTTGTTTTGTTTTTATTATTATTATTTTTTTTTTTTAATATATCTGTATTTTTTTTTTAAATATCTTGATTCATTTTTTTCAAATGTTCATATATAACATAGTACAGTTTTATATTTTTTGAACATAAAAGCGCATCTAAGTTGGTGGGGAGTGTTGCTCCTGTTAATTGCAGGTTCTTGTAAAATTCTTCATTTAGATTTTGAAAATTAGGACAGCTAAAGATTAAATGTTGTAAATTACCCAATTGCCTACAACTACAGAATGGGGAATCTGCCAAACCTATCTTAAATTTGTGTTCAGGATATAACCCATGTTTACATCTTATTCTATTTATAGTTTTAATCATATGGCGATTTGAAATATCAATAAACCATGGCTTTCTACTAATTTTGGGATTTATCTCTCGAAACCGTACTCCTACTATTGAGTTGGAATATAATTCTTGCCAGCTTTCTAATTGTTTTTTCTTAAAAAAAGATTTTAAATCCGAGGATGGCATTAGCGGTTCATCTAATAGTATTCCAGAGTTTGTAGCTAATTTTGCAAACTGGTCTGCTTTTTCATTACCTATGATACCTTGATGGCCTTTGATCCAAACCAAAGAAAAGGTCTTCCTCATAGTTAGGAGAATTCTAGCTGTTTCTAAAATCTTCATTATTACTACTGGTAATGTACTTGAAATTTGTATATTTTTTAAAGAATCAATAGCACTTTTGCTGTCTGTTAAAATTACGAAATTTGATTTATCATGATTAATGGCGTATTTTAATGCTTCTAATACTGCTATAAGTTCTGCCGTGTAAATGGACATTTGAGATGGTAATTTAAACATACGTGATACATTGTCGTTGGAATGGTATAAAGCGCATCCAGTCTTGTCTTCAATTTTTGATCCATCTGTATAAATATATTCTGCGTTTGGCCATCTGGTACTTATGGTATTGTTAGTAATGTGGTTTATGATGTTCCGGCATTGCACGTGTTCTGACTGAAAGTAGTAAAGTTGAAGATCAAGAAGGTTATATTCTATGTTATAACAAGGAAGTTTGTTGTTTTTATAAAGGAAGGTCTGAACATTATTTAGTCGTTGTAAACTTAATATTAATAGAGGTTTCTTCTTACGTCTCCAATATGGATAATTTATTTTAGCTTCTAGTTCTTGCAGCTCTCTAGTACGGTTTTGAGACAGTAATTTTGATACAAAATTATTGCTTAAATATTCTCTTCTAATCTCTAGTGGTGGTTCTGCTGCTTCTACTTCTAATACATTTACAGGAGTACTTTGTAAGGTTCCTAGGCATAATCGTAAACTTTTATTTTTAATCACTTCCACTTTTTGTAGTTGACTCAAACTAGCATTTCCATATAGTACACATCCATAGTCAAGCACTGAACGGATGAGAGCTTTATAGAATATCAGGGCTATGTTTGGATCCGCTCCCCATTTGGTATTTGAAAAGGCTCTAAGTATATTTATAGCATTCTCACTTTTTTTAACAAGATGATTAATGTGATCTTTCCAGGATAATTTTTGATTGAGTATTACCCCAAGATATCTAACAGATGATTTACATGGAATCGTAAGTGGACCTAAATTAAAATGATTTGGTGGCTGGTACCGATGACGAGTGAAAGTACATATAACTGATTTCTCTTGAGATATTTCGAAACCATTTCTTCTTGCCCAACGTGTGGCCCTTTCAGATGCTATTCGTAAATCTACTATTGTATTTTCAATTGATTTTTTTTCAGAATATATACAGAAATCATCTGCAAATTGCAGCACTCTTGTCTGGGGTTGCATAATGAAGTTAAAATCTGATGTATATAATATAAAAAGAAGGGGACTTAGAATGCTACCTTGAGGGATACCGAGGGAAGTTGATTTAGGAGGACCAATCTGTCCATTTATTTTTAAATATAAATTTCTATTTTCATAAAGCATGATGATGTTAGTCGTTATTCTCTCAGGAATACCTATTGTTAGAAGTTTCCCGGCCAAAATACGTAAATTAACTGCATCATATGCCCCTTTTATATCCAAAAATAATGCTGAAATTGAATTATTTACAGTAAATGCCTTCTGAACATCGGAAATAAATATGGCACTTGCTTCTATAGTTGAACGTCCTCTTCTAAAACCGTACTGGAATGTTGGTAGTAATTGCTGGTTTTCCAACCAATGTTCTAATCTATTTTTAATTATTTTCTCGTAAGTTTTTAAGATACAGGACGCTAGTGAGATAGGTCTATATGATTCTGCAGAATCAATTGGTTTCCCAGGTTTGTGTATTGGGATTATAAGGTATTTGCTCCAAACTTCAGGGATTTTTGCTTTATTTGTCCAGATGTCATTTAATATATTTAACAGGCGTTGTTTAGTTATCGCAGGGAGGTTTGACAACATCGGGTAGTGGATATTATCTATTCCTGGAGAAGTGTTATTATTTTTCTTTAACGCTCGATTTAGTTCTTGTATTGAAAAAGGACTACTGAGAATATGATTATTCCTAGAAGTAATTGGGATTTCCATAGGTTTTTCAATAACCCAATTGGGAGCTATTTTATTGTGAAAATCTTCTGCCCAATCGCCCCATTCCATTACAATCTTATTTGTTTGTTTTCGATTTTTGAATCTGTTTAATTTTGACCAGACCTCTTTCATAGGTGTATTTTTATTTAAACTACTACAGTACTCCCGCCAGCTTTTCCTTTTCGCCTGATTAGTTACTTGTTTTACGACTGCATCTTGGTTCTGGTAATTATAAAGGTTTGTTACGTTGGGATTTTCCTTGAATATTCTGAAAAGTAGTTTTCTTTTATCAACTGCCCTATTACATTCTTCAGTCCACCACGGTTTGCATTTTTCTGGTTTGTATGCCTTATTTGAACTGTACTTTGGAATGGCTATACTGGCTGCTTCATTTATATCAGTAATTAGCTTATCGTAACTATCATTTACAGTTTGCTTTCTTGGATCATCTAGGTAATTACTAAAGACCGACCAGTTTGCTTTATTTATATTCCAAATTTTATGGGACTTTGGGATTAATCCCGTAGATTCTACAGAACACTTTAAAAGGACTGGTAAATGATTTGATCCATGTGGGTCTTGAATTACTTCCCAGTCAAAAAGATGGCTGACATTTTGAGAGCAAAAGGTGATATCTATCGCACTATTTCTTTGTCCTGGTCTTGTGATGAGAGTTGACTCTCCTGTATTTAGAAAAACTAGACCAGATATATTTAATGCCTCTAGTAAATTTTTACCTTCGGTATCTTCTGCTTCTGAGCCAAATGCTTGATGATGAGCATTGAAATCCCCACCAACAATACATGGCTTTGGTATGTTATTAAAAAAAGTTACAAATTGATTTACTGTAAGTTTAGATGACGGTTTAATATAAACTGAAACAATATGTAATTTTTTAAAATTCCCTATAGTAACACACACACACGTAGCCATTATTTTTGGTATTATTGCCAATGGAATCTCTAAGTAAGATAAGTTATTTTTTATTAATAAGGCTACACCTGCTTTACCGTCATCCCTGTCCATTCGACAACAGTTATAACCAGCGAAATTATAATAAATGTTGGGTTTAAACCACGTTTCTGACAGTAAAGCTATGTTTACATTGTAATTATGTAGTAAATGTTCTAAATTTGCTTTATTTGCAACTGCTGATCTGCAATTCCATTGAACCATTGTGAAAAGTCTATTTATGTCTGCACACATAGTGTAATGTATGAAGAAACGGAAGTTATTTTTTGGTTATAGTCTACTCTTAGTATTATATTAAAATAGGGTATTTTAGGGAAAGCAGATAACTAGTTTAAAGTGTATTCTGACCTTGTCGATATCGCTATGGTTGAAATGTAATTTTAAAAAAATAATATTTAATGTGATCGAAACTGGTGGATGTTTGACAAGGTCGAGACTGAAGAGATGTTTCTTAGTTTAGAGTTGATTGTATCTAAAATATCTTGTTCTTGTATATCGAATGAATTTTTGTTTTTAAGGGTATTGACAATAGTATTAATTATGTCTAAGACTAGGGAAGTGTTTAAAATATCTACACTATTTTGTGACTGGTTTACAAGTGGATTTAATGTTTTTGGTAAATTAGCGGAATACAATGAAGATTGTAGAATACCTCCTGGGGAAGAAGGGACATTAACAGGAGTAACAATTTGTTTGTGTATGTTTAATATAGGATCAGGAGATTGTGGGCGAGCCCTTTTATTATCCCGATAAATTGTTTGTGTAAAATGGGTAGGTCTAGGAGATGAATTACAGTTAAAAAAGGGTCTAGATTGTGAAGAGCCATTTGAAGTGATTAAAGCGTAAGTCGCTTTAGGTGTTTTTCCACAAGCATCTTTATAAGAAAGGTTAGTTTGTGACATGAGCTTTTTAATTTCTTTTTGTCGTGAGAATTCTGGACATTCTTTAGTGGCATTGGTATAGTGAGCGCCATTGCAATTAAAACATTGAGGGGGTAGATTGACTTCAGGACAGATATCAGGTTCATGGTTTTGTTTACATTTTACACATCTCTTGGAACTTTTACATTGTTTGCCCAAATGACCGTACCTAAAACAGTTATAGCAAAGTACCACCTTTTCAACATATGGAACTACTTCAAATATAACATGATTAATTTCTAAATACTTTGGCAGAGTTTGTGACTTAAAGGTAACTAAGACAGTCTGAGTGGGGACAAATTTTGTGGTATTATTTTCTGTTATTTTTCTAGAAAACCGTTTAGCAGAATCGACACTGAATTTGCAGTGCATGTCGTGTTCCCTTATGTTGTGTTTTAAATATTCATCTGAGTATTCCAGATCGACATATTTAATAATACCTCGCCGGTGGAGCATAAAACGGGGAATATAAACATTTAAATTATAATTTTTTAATTGGTTAGAATTTATTAACGAATTGGCTGTTTTATAATCTTTGCATTTAACTCTAATTCTATTACGTCCAACTGAGTCGATATTTTTAATATGGTTGTCGAGATCTGGATGAGCGTTGTAAATAATCTCTCCTATTTTCATAGGTCTTAGTTGTCCTACAAAATTTTCTGAATTGTTTTCAATATAAACAAAATACGGACCTGAATCAGTTGGACTGAATAAGTATATTTCTCTCTTGTTGATTGAAGGAGAATTAATTGGTTTATCACCATTGATTTCTGAGATTTTATCAGTAACATTGGTTCCGTCTTTGCTAGTTGAATTTGTTGAATTTGCAATAAAAGAACTATTAATAGAACTAATTTGACTTACATTTGCTTCATTTATATTTTTGATTACATTACCGCTCATAGTATCACTTATTTCTCTATCATCTCTTAGGGTTTTGGTTGCTGGAATATATTCCATCTGCGTTAAATTGCTAATATCATTCATCATTTCATCATCACTTAGAACAACACGATTAGGGACTCCGAAAAGAGTTCCCGGGGAGAGTGCCTCCCCCATTGGAAAGACACTTCACTAATGCGACTACACTAGTATGTAGTTCGAAAGTATTAACACAAATAACACAAGGGAACCTAAAAATAAAGTTAAACGAGAAAACCCAACAAAAAAGACTGAAAATTGAAATTATATTTCAAAATACTATTGTCACGTTGACGTTCAATTTTTCGTTTATGTTCTAAAATTACTAAAATGCAAATTTATTAAAACAGAAATTTAGCGAAAACCATGAGAGTAATCGAGTCTTATCAAGAGTACCTTTTTTAAAGTAAATGAGTTGTGCAATCTAAATTTCATACTCAAACTCCTTTTCTTCCATTGGCGTAGAATTTTTAAAGGTACAATTATTTAAAAAATCAAGTTCTACGCCTATGTATTATTGTCGGACAAAATTTTAATACAATTTTTTTGCCACATAAAACTCTACCAATGTACCAAATTTCAGCAAAATCGCGTATGCCGTTTTAAATTTATATGAGAAAAACGATTTAAAAATTGTAACTTCAAGGCCCTCTGGAGCCCAAACGAAGCAACTTTGTACTAAGGTAATTTTACTTAAATCGACTTATTTTGGACTAAGGAATATGTGGTATGTTTTTGTAAAGACCTTTTACAGACACCCTGTAGTTTACTTATTTTTGTACTTTATGAAATTTTATAAGAGATTTACTTCCATCTACTTCTTCCTTCCCATTTAAAAACAAACGATTGTGCACTCATAATGCGATTTTTACGACACTTATATTTGGCAACGTCTCAAAATGCACAACATCGAGTATAATGTATTAAGATCCAAATGATCACCTCGAAAAACCAGAATGAAACCTACTTTAGCTATATCTGTCGTACTGTACGGTTCTTTATATCTACTTTACTTTCACCATTTTTTAGGCACTTTTAACAGTAATAAAGCAGGTTTCGTCACTGCACCGACAGACTATTACTTTCGTCCATACTTTTTAACTGCAGACCAACTGACGCCCAAATATTTGTGCTTAAAACCCTACTGTACAGGTCCGGAGAAAACCGGAACTAGAATGCAAAATTTAATTCTAGATTTTCTAAATGCTATAAAGGGAAGAACACCTGGTTTTGGTTTGTTCTGGATGAACACATTTAGGTAAAATATGTATTTTTTTTTAACTAGTATTTTATATTAAAATAAAAACTTTTTAAAACAAGTCAAATTCAGAAAAAATACAAAATTAGGCAGGAAAAGCTAATAGATGAAAAACTCAAATTTAAAATTAATGAAATGATAACGTTGAAAATTAGAATCCTATTAAAAACACCAAAGAAAAGGTATTAAGGTAGTTCACTCGTAAAACGGCTTTTCTTAAGAATTCAATAAAATTTAAATATAACGTTTATGAAAGTGTCGTTTACGTAACTAAAAAAAATTAGATTTTTTGACCATCTGTGAAACGAGATATTAACAATCAAAATGTGCATAATTAACATTCTTGAAGCCTACCATGTACACAAGCAATGCATTTATTTCAAGATATCTCGAAAACGGTTCTTACCATATTTTTTAAAAACTAATGTTAAATAAATCAAGAAGTTATCAAATTTTATAGATAATCGCTGAATTTTTTGACTATCTTAGTAAAAAGATATAGATTTTTAAAATAAAAATATTTTTAAAGCAGTTGACGAGTAGTTTCGTAAAATTATTACAACTTGGCAACATTGTAGCCACTTCACGTATCAAAGTAACACTCGATCAGCTAAGAGGTTGTTATAAACCCGCGACGTGTTCTTGAAAAATTAATTCGTCCACTGGGTTTGAGAACTGGAATCAGCGGTTCTGTTTGAACCAAAACAAACCCTTAAAATTAGTATGAGGAAGTCACAAATTTCTATACCATATCGTTTAAATATTTGCGAGTTTGCCGGATGAAATTGAATAAAATTATAACTTGTCCATATGTGTTTATATACATGTGTTTTGTACAGTCTCTTACAAAAATAAAATTTATTAGCATTGAGAATGTCGAACTTTTGGTATTCACCATTACGCGATATTTTTATGTACGACTGTCGCGAGTGAACTACCTTAATGAATTGAAAAAGCAATCACATTTTGTTTAAGAACGGGAAAAAAATATCAAAAATTAAATTGGAAAACACAAAAGTAACATCTAAAAGTATTATTGCAATTCTGGACTTCAGAGCCAAACAGTATTAAGTCCACCTTTCTTCATTTTCAAGTTATTGGTTACTCCTACATAATTTTTCCTGCTCCTTCTTTTGGTGCTAAGTATTAAAGTTTTATTATTTTTAGTTTTCCAGATATATTTCTAAAACCAATATTGAGTCCAATTAAAAATACAGGCAGTCAAAGCAGTCAAAAGTTTCAACAAGCTCTCCTGTAAAATTTTGTAAAATGCTCTTTGGCTCTAAGGTCCAGAATTTTAATATTTATTTAATTTTTTTTAGCCATGAAGATGTCAATTGTCCTTCGTCCATGGACGAAGAATTTGAAATGTTCTTTAAAAATTTAAGTACAAATGGACACTTAGAAAATTCCATTATGGTATTTTTTAGCGACCATGGTTTTAGATTTGGGAAAATGAGACTTACACCAACTGGCTGGTTCGAGGAAAGACTGCCATTTATTCATGTTTGGATTCCTGAAAATTTTAGGTACTTATATGATTTTATGGTTTCCTCTTTTTTTCCGAAAAACACTTAGGGTCTATTTATACTCCCTTATTATTAATATTTGTATTAGTATTACGATTAAGCATTAAAGTGGACTAAATATTCAAAAAGGGTATTTATACTCGTTTTATTATTAGTGCTTCTTTTTTAATAATCTTTTTCCTAATAAGATATAATTCTGCAGTCAACAAAATGTTGGTTACTGAAAAAATGTGTAAGAGGCCAGTTGTGTTCTTTAAATATTTTTTAAGATATGAGTTTTAAACGTGTTTTTATTAATATTTTAACTAGTTAATTTTATTTAAAAATATTACTATTCAAAAATAGGTTTAATTAAGGACATTTTAACGGATTTACGTCGCAAATTTATAGCAGATAAAAAGAAGCAGACATTTTAGACAAATCAGACAGAAAAGGGGCCTTTGCTTCCTCGTGGTGACATGTCATTTGTCAACTTTATACTCGGTAAACACTTCGAGCATATATATTTCATGAGCATTCAATGCGCTAGTTCAGTGTGATGTCATTTTGGTTCCACTGACATTTAATTCTAACCAAACTTTTAACAAAAACATCAATAAATTAGACATATACGTTGTTACTGTTTTTATTTTATTTCAAAATATTGTTTACAGGTCATAAAAAATAGTTTAAAGGTATGTAATTGGTAACTATAAACGATTATATATTTGATACATGCTATATACTTACTTTAGGAATATATAAAAGTGAAAAAAACGATATAATTTAGGTAAACAAAACGAACAAAACACTCAAAAAATCTACTGTCACTTTAATTGTCAGTGGAACCATAATTACATCATCACTGAACTAGCGCATAGGGTTTGTTTACGTTACAAGGGGAAAGGCCTATAAGACACAATTACCAGTGTCGCAACATTTTTACGGGGTTTGCAATTAATATAAATAATAAATTTGATACATACCTTCAAAATTCTTTAAATTATGCACATATTTTATAAACTTGCATTATTTAAGTAGGTACCTATCTATTAATAGTAAATAATAATAACAATTATTATTATTATTATTATTATTAATATTATTATTATTTGTGTTGGAAACATCAGATTTTTTTTAATTCAAACATCAGAAAGTGTATAACGGAAAAATAAAGGTTGAAATAATAGACAATAAAAAAGATAAAAAGCTTATATTTAAAAATCAAAAATATAAATAAATACTATGTATGTTATACAAATATTTATGATATCTCTTAACACACACGTACTAAAATTATAATACAAGAACTTTTTTCAATAATTTATTAAATAATATAATAATAATAATAATAATAATAATACTCTCACTAATTCACCCTCTTGCGAGTGAATTTTAACCCCAAAAGCTGAGCTTGTGCGGGGAAAGGGACGGCCATTATTATTATTTGCCGTGGCGACTTAAAGATGATTGATGGTGCCATTTGACTTACAGGTGAGGAAAATCCGGAAAACCTCACCCACCATCATCGAGACGGTAATGTATGGTGATTTTTTATAATCTGCATGTCATATCAACAGAAATTGAATTTCTATTAATACGGCATGCACACATCAAATCCTATACCGAACCATGCAATTTAATTAAAAATCCACATGGTCTGGGCTGAGATTCGAAGCCCAGCAGTCTCTGACACATAAACTTGCTTATAAATGAATATAAGCGCGTTAGACCGCTACACCACCGACCCGACAAAATATTGTTCGTAACCAATGTTCAATAGAATACTAAATTATATACTACAAATATGTAGAAATCAAGCTAATACTTAGGTACTTAGGTACATTTGCACTGCTAGTCGTTAACAAATAAGTGAAGCTTCATTATTTTTATTGGAAAACTGTCTTAAGCTTCGATTATTTCTTAATGACTAGGAGTGCAAATAAAAGAAGCTTAAAATGACTTTTTTTATTGAAAAATTTACATTAGGTTTTTTTCTTAACGACTAATAAATTTAATTAAATAACATAGCTACATTTAATAAATAATAATTTATTGTCAATTTTTATAGTTCATAAAAAATATAGGTAGTAATTATTTTAAAATAAAATTTATGTTGTGTTAAAAAGTTACTTACATGTTTTCTAATTCTGCATTTTCTTTTTCTGCAATAGAGGCTTCATGGTTCAGATCATCACTGAAAAATTAAAAATTTTGTACGATTAACCCACAAGAAAAGTGCAGGGTTCTTTACCTTTTAAATTCAGCTTCTTCTGGGGCCTCAGTAAATGCTGATGGCAGTGCATCTGGAATTAATCTAGTTCTTCCTCCGCATCCAGTCTTTAACATAAATATATATCCAGAAAAATGATTGAAACATCACTATTTGAAATGTTTTCTGGAATATGTTTCACCAAATGCGTTTTTTCGGCAGGATTGCTGGAAATCTACAAAAAAACAAAAATTATTGATTTAACATCTTCAACATTATCATGATAAAATGGCTTAAAAACAAAAAGCTTGTTTATATTGAAAAATTATGATTATTTTTTTTTTTATTTTTCAGTAGAGTCCAAAATCAAAAACAATATTCCTCATACAGAATACAAGTTCTTTAAATTTAATTCACCAAATTTACCATTTATTTTAAATTCATGTTTAACAGCCTTTTGCATAAAATGTAGGACCTATGTTTCCTTAAAAAAATGGCAGATACGCTAATAGTTACTTACTTGTGAAATGCCCTTGACGATGCATTTTCTTATTTCTATTTACAACTTACACAAACTCTCACCATATTGTTAAACTTTGAATCAAAACTATAAACGACATCTGACAACATAACCATATGTGTATTGTCAATTGTCATAATCCGTTGTCTATTAAAAACAAAAGCCAAATACGTCATTGATTCATTTGATAGAAAATAAATTTAAGATTTAACATAATAGTTAAACCTGTCAATTATTAAGCATACATTTTAATGCTAATACTAATTATAAATCGAGTATAAATGTCCCCATTACATTTTGAAGGTTCAACTTAATCCTTAATCATAGTATTGATGCAAATACTAATAAGGGAGAATAAATAGATCCTTATTGAAGAAAAAATATTTAATTTATTTTAAATAGTGGTGGTATTGACTATTTTCAGATCTCTTCTTAGAAATCTTTATTTAATACTTTTTAAATAAAGGGTGTCCAAATTTGACCTTCGGATTTAATTTAATAATAAAACACAAAAAGTCCTTGAATTAATATACTATTATTGTATTATTTTAAAGTTTTAATGTTACGGTTAATAATGAAAAATGATATCCGGCATGTGACCTTTCTGCTTCTTTAGCATGCTAACATTCATTTCACAAAATTTTCAAGAACATTTTCGCAAACATTCTGTTCAATTTCTTCAATTTTTTTGAATAATGTTAACTCGAAGCTGTTCAGTTGTTTGAGGGTTATTAGCATTAGCTTTTCCCAAAAGTCCCACAAGAAATAAGCCAATAGTGTAAAGTCGCACGACCTAGGCGGACAATTAACCTCAGCTCTTCGAGAAATTATTCGAATGCCAAATTTCTCCCTCAAAAGATTTATGATTTTAACATATGTGTAGCAAGTGGCACCGTCTTGCTAGAACCACATGTTCTAGACATCCATATCTTCTAATTCGTTCCACAATAATCTCGTAATCATTGTCCTGTATCGCGCTCCATTTACAGTTATTGAATCACGAGCTTCATTCTGGAAAAAATAAGGACCAATAACGCCACTAGACCGAAAACCACACAGTCACATTTACTGGATACAGTTTCCAATATTTCTCTTGGATTTTCTTCATCCCATATTCTGATGTTGAAATCTCTTCGTAAAATTCTCAATAACTTTAACAGATGGTGCTTAATTTCTTCCGAAATGCGTACGGCATCTTCTTGCAAGTTTCAGCATAACATTCCCCATTTTGGTAAAAAGTTTTTACTTTACAAACGTGGTTTTCGATGTACAGTTGTTCCATGTTGACCAAAAAACAAGTATCTGCAAAGTTTTTACTTGACATATTATGTCATCATAGAAATACTGTCAATGAAGATTACCAAAAATGGCGGCCAATTTAAATCAGAATGTCAAATTTGGACACCCAATATAATTTTTTTTTGTCTCACCGTTAAAACATTTTTTTAGAAAAGCGCATGTAGAAGAATACCAGTACCTTCTAGAAAACACTGAAACACTAACGTCCCCTTACGATCTATATATGACTATGCAACATATAATCTACCTCTACAACCCAAACTTCGTCCCTCAACCAGCCGCAGGATGCTCACGATGCAGCTCTCTATTCGAAAAAATCCCTCCAGAACGAACTTGTAAAGACGCGGGAATCCCCGAACATTATTGTACGTGTTCGAATTACAAACGAATCGACAAATATTCTTCGAATGCTCAAAAAATTGCTTCGTTTTTCGTCAACGAACTGAACAAAATAATTAGATCCTATGGATCCGTATCGAAAGGATGTGCTTCATTTTCTTTGGAGAAAATATCTCATATTAAAAACCTTGTTATCGAACCTGGTATAGAAGAAAACTATCTAATCGGTATCGTGACCAATCCTGAAGCAAATTTCGAGGCTACTGTGAAAGTGACGTTTCAAAAAGAAAAACTCATGGTGTTAAATCAGGTCAATAGATTGGATAGGTACGCTCCTACGTCATATTGTGCTAAAGGGCAGGTTCAGATGTATTGCTATTGTAAAAGTGTGTTGAAGAAATTAACGAACGTATTTTGTAATAATAAATATTGTTTTATATAATTTTTATATTTAGACCAAATGTGATTTAGGGTTTGAGATTATAAATAATTTTTATTTAAATTCGTGAAAATTTGTCGCTCTAGTAAGCAGGTGAATCACGTCTGTTTAAAGAAATTTTATTTTCAATGCAATAATTTGATACTATACAGAAATTTATTAAAAAATATATTTAGTAATTTATGTGTTTATTTTTATCACCGTTTTACTAATTTCTAAGAATACATAATACATCACTAAATGTATTTTTAGTTGTAAACGAGTCATTTATTTTTTAATATCACATATTACTAGAAGTCGTTAAATTTAAAATAACAATAAAAATGTATTTGATATACATGTTTGTAAATCATTTGATACAATCACAGTTAAATACAAAAGATATACAGGGTGTTTGTAAATAATTGCGAAATATTTTAAGAGGTGGTTGCCGAAGTTATTTTGTTAAAAAAGTTCCTGTAAAAAAGTCAGTGGCGCACCATAATCACTCCCTAAAATCTTTCGCACTTATATTTATACCTTGTATAAATAAGTTACATATTTGATGTTAGTTATACAAAACCATATACTCCAACCAAAAAGTAACAATAAGAGACTGAACATGTAGAATTATTGTTTTTTTATGAATAAATTTAATTTTTATTAACAATTTTATTTCACAGAAGTGACGTTTTCAGCAGGAAAATTTCTTGGATAATATACATTTAGCTTCTATCGAAAAATTATAAAATATATTAATGGACAATCGTGTAATTTTGTGTTTACTAACGACCACTAGATGGTGCCATTGAGATGACATTAATATTTTCTAAAAAGTTGACATTAATTTGTCATATTGTTATCGACAGCTCAAAAATCAGGGCATCTCCAATTTTTCCAGTGGGGGCAAAGGTACCGGATGTACAAATAAGAAAGAAACCGTTTATATACAGATTTGAGGGAAATTATTTTCAAGTTAGTAACTTCGTTGCTTCCCAGCTAGCACCGTCCCAGCTAGCACAAAAACATCCCATCTACGTTAATAAGCTGCAATTTTAGGCTCTTTAAGCTCGCATGCAATGTACCGTAAACGTAACCCTATTATCCCTGCAACTACCGAATGTCCGCAACTGCAAGACTTTTATAGCACATCTCGTAGAAGTTATAAAGTGAAGTTCGGAAAACATCACACTAGCACTTTTACGGTACTTACCCCGAAAGTTGCTCTGAAACGTTCTATTGATGTTATAATGTGAATTAGATCTACAGCATTATACAGTGTGTCCACGGATGGGCTTAACTATACTTGTGAAAATATTTATTTTAAATTAAAAAAGTAATTCTTCATAATTTCTTGCTTGTTAAATAAATTCGATTCACATTGAGAAATTATGAAAAATAACTTTTTCTTTAATTTAAAATAAATATTTTTACAAGTATAATTAAGTCCATCCATGGACACACATTGTGTAATGTAATACAGAGAGGCTGAAATTGAGGCTATAGTAAAATCTCAATCGAGACATGAAAATTTCAAATAAAACAAAATATTTATATAAATTTATTATTAAAATGTTCTTGAAATCAAGTACCAATAGCACAAAAGTAGAGGTAGGTGTAGGCGTGTTCTTTTATTCAGTGCTGTATCCAGCGCTTGCAGCAAACCGTTCGTAAATTAAGTGATGGAAAGACGATTGTATGTGTCAATCATTCTTTTTTCCAGCGGTGAGTTCACCAATGAGCCAAGGCATCCATCGGCTTTAAAAGCCGATGGATATGTGATAGACGAATGGTGAGGATAATCAATCATTTAAGTTAACCTAAAATATAAGAGTTCAAATATAAAACGACTGCAGAATAGATAAATTACATCAATCACTGATAGAACAATTATTGAATAAAAGAACACACCTTATATCACAAACACAAGTACACATGTGGGATAGAAGAAGCTACCTAGAAAGCACTGAACGATTGGACAAAATTAGCTAAATAGTATAATAAGGTACCAATATTGCAAAGGTTCACTAAAACCTTAAATGGTGAACGATGATAAAGCTAGATTGGTGAAAAATAATAAACGAATACAACAATGACTAGGTACATATTATTATATTAGATTACTAGAGGATAGCTAAGTTAGCTGATTTCTTACCTAAGACGCAGAGATATATCTTTTCTTTTTTAAATCAAGCCTTTTAACTTTTTTTGCATAGATATTTATAAAGTGCTATAATGTAACCTAAATATGACAATTTATTAGAAGAGAATAAATTATATTTTTATATAAAAAGATTTTACTTCTCAATACATTGAATAAAAAAGAAATTGATAACTTGTTTACCTATTATTAATTAAAGGAAATTATATAGAAATTAAAAAATATGCCTTACTTTGTTGTTTTAAATAAAACAACCAATGTTAGTGTATTGAAATTTGTTTGAATTTTACAAATTTTATGCTTGATTTCCAAAGTAGATATATCGATGGCTCAATCAAAAAACGCCACAAGTCAAAAAACAAAGCAATTACATTTTTGGTTCAATGGATGCAAAATATCATTACGGTTTTACTTTAAATACCACCACAAACAAAAATATCCTTAAAGATAAATCATTTAAAATGTAGCCACAAACTGTGTCTAAAACTGCCTCAATTCGAGTTATTTTCTTCAAAAACACCCAAATTTTTTACAACTATGCAACAACTCACTTTTATAATCGTAATCATTTTATTTAACAGCAAAATATCGAAGCTTTTAAATAAAATATAAAGAGTATATCAAAAACAAAATAATGATAATAGACTTACAAAATTTCAAAATGAAATTTCTCGAAATAATAGTATTTTAGTTGTGGCAGTATTTGATTGAGCCATCGATATGTAGATTTTATAAAAAACAACTGGTGTTTTTTAGCAAGATATTGTATTATACTTGAGAGTATCATCTATGATTTCTTTCAACTTTTCTGCTGGGTTTTCACTTGAAATGATGGTTGCATTTCCAGGCAATCTAGCCTGTTGAAGAAAATGAACTGCTTGAATTCTGATATACCTGACATATCATGTACCTATAGATTCACTTTTTATAAAACTTCAGGTGTTATATTCTTCTTTACACTTCTGTAGTATTTACTTTTGCTTCTAAAATTCCTAGAATGTCGAAGGAAACCTAAAAAGTAATATTTTTAAAATGTATTTTTAGTTCGATAAAGTATAATTACCTTTTATAAGTATTTGGTGTAAAATGTTGCCGGACATTCGGTTAAATGTTTATCTTCTGGTTTACAACGATTGATCTGCAATTCTTTGTATTTATTGTAGTTTTTTTTTATTTGGTGTCATCGGCATCGACTGCTAAAGATACTTAATGAATGAAATAATAAATTTACATCAGGCATTGTAATCTGAAACAAAGACAATGGTTTAGAAAATATCTATTTTATAGAGGACCCTTACCAAATCTATTCGAATGTATAAATAATAATTATTTATAAAATAAATTCTGGATGTCGAAAAATAAACCATTAAAAAAGACAATTGACAAGAAAAACTGACAAGTGACAATTGACATAAAACTAAACGTTCTGAATTCAGATTTGTAATGTTTACGGTAGGTTAACTAGGTAAATAACAAATAGAAGTTTTGCGAGGTTTTGATTTCCCTCAACAACTTCTCATGAACGTTGCATTTACGTTGTATAGTAATGTTATTACGTTCCCTTAATGCAACATCGCCGAAAGGCTTGGCAACGTTATGTGCTAGCTGGGGTACGTCGTTTCACGTCATAATCACGTTGAATTTTTTTGGTCAAATACGTCGATGTAATTTTTTGACGCAAAAGTAACGTAATAATAATCTAAATCTAAACGTAATAATGACGTCATTTTCGGACCAATTTGACACGTAAACATAGTTGTTGCGAACAAAATATACCTATTTATGTCATTAATGCACTTCGAGTTTTTGTTATTCATTATTAAATAAATAGAAGGTAATTTATACAACATCGTTTATTTAGCGGTCATTGTGACACCAAAATAAGACGTACTATGACGTTATTTAGGGACTAGTTTGTCACGTTCTGAAATGAGGCGTTAAACTGCGCACGTGTACACGTCGATTCTACACCTTTATTGTTTTACATTCAATTTATTAATAAAAGTATCTTTAGTGTTTATAATAAATTTATGATTCTCATTTTAAATCTAGGGATTTTTGGGAATTTTCATTTTTAAATGAAATTTTATATCAACACTGTTTAGAAATGTCAGCTGTCATGTCATTGTCCAGGGTTAGCGGTTCACGCACATACTTTGATTTTCTTTAACTATACGGAGAATGGTCGCACTGCGCAGCTTTCTGAGTGCCTTTTAAAAGGAGATAGAAAACTCCGCCATTTTAAACCCTTATTACGTGTTGCCTACATCTTGGCGCAATATTTTTAATAGGTGCGTTTTAATCATCCGCTTCTGCTTCGGAATTGTCGGTTTTCTTGTTTTAATCTGACAGGTTAAAACGACTAAACCGACAATTCCGGAAGCAGAAGCGGATGATTAAAACGTACCTGATATTTTGCTTGCTGCTGTCAGTGTCAGTGAATATTATTTTTGGAGTCACAGTTTATTGCTAAAGAATCAGTTAGCTCACTCGGACCAGTTAAAAGTTCCAAAATAGCATCCACTCCAGGGATACAAATTCAGGATACGCAGAAGACTGCTGTTTTATTATAGGCGGTTGTCATATATTGTATTATCTGAGTTGCGCAGTGTATAAACTGGAACATTGAGATCAAAAGTGCCAACGCAGAGTGAGCGATCTGATTTTTTAGCTATAAACTGTGGCATAGGAATCAAAATGGCCGCGCTCTATGTTGGGCGTGTCGGACCTCTCTCTTGCCCCGTATAGTAATCGGTTCACGCTATTTTGTGTTATTTTTGTAACTTGTGTTTGCAACATTCTTTTATTGTATGATTTTGTATGTGTTTTGAAGGTAAGTAGTTAGGAAGTTTAGTGCGATATTATTGTTTATTTTTAGTATGTTTATAGGAATTCAATACGCCGACAAGCACGGCACCGGAGTATCATTAAACCACTTCAAGTTCCAAGTAGCCGACATCCTAGGAAATGAGGTTTCTTATAAACAACAAGAATCTTTTAAAAAGGAGAAAATTGGACTCTTTCCTATTTATAGAACATATTTTACCGAAGTAATTAAACATTTTTAAATGAATATTATGGTGTTTTTTGACGTCTAAACGCGTTATCTAGTGACGTGTTTATCACGTCGCTGTATGACGTCTTTGATCTGTGACATATTGCCGTCATAATCACGTCACTAGCACGTCATAAATTGGTGATTTCGACGTAAAATGTGACGTGTATTTCACGTGAAAATCACGTGTCTGTGCTAGCTGGGTTAGGGTGCATAATGTTCATGGCCTATAATATATTTTTTAAATTTCACTCAATTTTGACTACTCACTTGTTTATCATTGGTCATAAGCATCATTACGCAATCTGTAGGCGAAGTTAGAAACTTAAAAATAATTTTTGTAGATTCATCTTTGCCACTTTTACTTAAATTATATAGGCATTCCAAACAAAATGGCTACCAGTGGGTTTTGATAGGTTATGATATGGTAAAATTGTGGCAACCCTGTAGGCTTTGTGATTTGTCAAGGTCAATGAAATAGATAGTTCATCTATATTTTTCAAAATAAACATAAGTTTATGCCTTGAAGTAAAAATGT